ACCCCAACCCTCTGTCCCAGCCCAGAGCCTGCACCCAGCACCCAAACCCCCTCTCACACCCAGCCCCCAAACCCCCTCCCATATCCGCTCCTGCACCCCAACCCCATGCTCCAGCCCAGAGCCTGCACCCCCTTCTGCACCCCAACCCCCGTCCCAGTCCAGAGCCTGCACCCAAACTCCATCCCAAACCCCCTCCTGCACCCAAACGCCCTCCCTGAACCTTGCAGTCCCTTCTAACCCGATGGGTCTATAATTCTTTGATTCTAGCATCTGTCACCTAAAAAGCAGGGCTGGCGCGTATGGATTTCCTCCGCATCCTCTGCACTGAAGACAGAAGTTTCTCCGCAATGGCCTGGTCTTCCTGGAGTGCTCCTTTAGCGCCTTGATCGCCTAGTGGCTTTGCTGACTGTTTGGCAGACTTCCTGCATCCCATGTACTTAACCAGTACTTTGCTGTTAGTTGTTGTGCCTTAGCTAGTTGCTCTTCACGTTCTTTTTTGGCCATATTATACTTTTCATTTGACTTTCCAGAGTTTATGCGTCTTTGTATTTTCCTCACTAGGATTTGACTTCCAAAGTGCCTCTTTTACTCGGCTGTTTAGCCCTGGGGGCATTTTTTTTATCCTCGCACTGGTTTGTTTTTTATTTGCGGATACATGTAGTGGGAGCCTCTAGCATGGTGTTTTTAAACAGTCTCCATGCTCTTTGCTGGCATTTCACCCTGGCGTGTTGCTTTTAATTTCCATTTAACGAGCCTCCTCACATCTGTGCAGTTCCCCTTTCTGAGTTGAATGCTTCCTGAGAGTAACTACTCCAGCGTGGAGGCTGCGCGGTGAGAGCTCACACCATGCACTGTCCTAAGCAGAGAACGTCTCCAAGGGCCGGCACTGCGGTACCGCTCCTCGCCAACGCCGCCCGGCTCCGCTGCATGTGCCCTGTCTGCCAGCAGGGGTTTGTTCTCGATTGTCACAAACGGGGGATAAAAGGACTCTCCTGATCTGTGTGAGGGGGACGTTACCAGCATTCAGCCAGTATTCGCAGAGGCGCTGGGCGTCATCTGGCCCCTTGGCAGCTCGGAGCATAGGGCAGAAAGTGAAGTCACAGCCTGCGCTGATTCAATGTACTGCCCACACGTTGCTCCCCTCCCCCACATGGCCTATTCCCTTTCCCCTCCCTCACCTTCCCCCCCCAAACGGGGCCTGTTTGCAACAGCAGCAGGTGCGGGCCCAGGGGTAGGAACAACATTGACCCACGTATGTCAAGGGTTGGATAAGCTCAGATGAAATCACATGGCCCCATTACTCTCTGGGAGGGGCCGGCAGGGATAGGACAGTGGCAGCGGGGGCGGGGGGGCACAGGGTCTCCTTCGCTCAGCTCAGGGCACTGTGCGGTTAACAGGACACTTGTTTTCCTTGGCGACGACGTCATCTAGCTGTTCCTCCGTGATACTCCCAGTGCAGCAGGGCTCTACCCCTGCACCAATGAACTACGCCAGGCCGCGCTGCAGGGACGGCGCGAGGAGAGGTGGCCGGGCAGCTTCCCCCCAGCAATCAGCCCCACGGCCATCGAGATGCTCTTTT